TGTTGGGTGGTTTCTCAAACAAGGCAGTCCAATGAAGGACAGATTAATCAGTTTACTATATTAAAGCCTTTTAATATAAAGGTGTGGTGTGTGGTTCAGAGAAGAAAACAGGAAGAACACAGTTTCTTTCTAGGCAGCTACTAAGGAATCAGGACGAGTTTCTGATTTATGCCCTGGGTACCCATCACTTTGTCGCCTTATAAAATCAGCCAGCTCACAAGCGATTGAACAGGATTGCCATTTACTGTAGGCAACATTATAGTATTTTGTCAATATGAGTATAAACTCCACACTCATGGCTCATAGAAAGGTTTAAGTAGACTTGCATTGCTACGCGGCCACTCAAAATCGTATCAGTGATTTAGTGGAGAAGTTGACAAAATTCTCTGCTGATACAAATCATTTAAATGATCCCTGAGAAATGTTTGGAGAAAAAATACTGTGTAAAAGTAAAAGTCAACCAATTCTAGCCAGGACTATGGAGCGAGTCAACATTTGTGTATCGGTCGCGCTTGCTCAAGAATCAGGTTTGCAGTTCAGCCTTTGCTTCGTTTCTGCCCTTCAGAGCGAATTCTCTCCCGCCACGTGCCTTTCTGTCGGCCCTCCCCACTCATATTCCCACGTGTTTATCAATTTTGTTTCTCACCGAGTCAAGACCAGCATTGCTGTAGTGCCAAGATTTGCAGTTAATTTTCTTTTTAGGCAAATCTTTGCTGCTGAAAACCGGAAGAAGATAGAAGAATCCATGCTATCTTCTGGGAAATTGTAGCTCTCAAGGAATAAGAAACAGCTTCTTAGAGGGTATTCTGGTTGGGCAGTAGCTTTGAAGGTCAGCGGTGGACATGAAACCAGAAAAGTGAGCATTCAAGCTGCATGTCACTACCAGAACCAGTAAGGGGAGACAGGGATTGAGTGTTTATGGGCACTTTTTCTGAAGTTATGTGCCCTCCAAAACCGTTTTCATGTCTCACCTCAAGCCAACCTTTTTGTAAGGAGAGGAAGGGAGGGGTAAGGGGTTTGGGAAAAAGGTTAATTGGATGAGAGTTGCAGTTTGGGTGATTGTCCTAGAACTTTATCTGTGGATCAGCAACTCAGATCCCATCTTGGCCCGCATGCCCCCTGGGGCCCAGAGGCTGAATTGCTCGTTGACCTCCTGGCATTGACCTAGGTCTTGCATTCCAGTTCCTGGAATAGCCCTTTTCCCTGCCTTAATCAGTTAAGCCTATCAACTAAGGCTAAATCATTAACTCCTGAGCTCCCCTATCAGAGTAGTTTGATGTTTAATTGTCGCTTCAGAGGTAGTAACTAGGATAAGTATATACTTACTGTCGACTAAATAAACAAGCCAACAAATTAATAAAAATCTTACAATCTTTAGAAAAAATCCAGTTGTAGAAACAATGTGTTCGCATGTATTATGTATATAGGTAAGGCCGTAGTACTTCAGTATAAGGAAGTAATATTTTATTAGCTTATTGCTTGCAGAAATTTTATGTTACTAGAGTGTTGTTATTAACATTACTTCAGAAAATCCTTTGTTTACAAACATAAGGGGAAAAATAACTTTGATAGTGTTAGACTGGTAGTATTACATTATCAGAAATTATTATCCTTTCTGCCTAAAAACAAACATTTGCATAGATTCTTCAAACGTATCTGACATACTTTTTTTTTTTTTTTGCCTATTATCTCCTTTCATTTTAAGATGCCCTGTGTCCATGGGCAAATATTTTTCTAGATACTATACACTATTTTGTTATTATAGTAAGACTGTTGCTATGCTTTAGTAATAATTAAAATTATCAGCCATATTGCATTGTCATTTCTACTGGAAAGATGCTTTGATTGTGTCAATATGCTCATTGACTGGGGAAAAGAAATCGTAAAATGTGTACCAGTCATCAAGATGGTAACAACCAACACTCTATGCAGTACTGTGTTGGCAGGGTTTTCTGGATATTGTATTTTGTGTTTTCTCATCTCATCATGTTTACAAAATGCCCATCTGTGACTCTTGCTTCTGATGAGAAGATGAAGACATTTGCTCTTGAGATGAAGCTCAAAATAATTGCCCAACTGTAGGCTACGTCAGTGTTCTGAGCTCATTTAAGGTGGGCAATGCTAAACCATGATTTTTGGTTGGTTAGGTGCATTAAATGAATCTTCAACTTACAATATTTTCAGCTTAAGATGGATTCATTGGCATGTAACCCCATTGTAAGCTGAGGAGCATTAGTAATATTATCTTATTTAAATGTCTATTTGCTTAAATTTACTTAATATTTTATAACATGTTTACTGTGTATTAACAGTTCAAGAGCACTCTTTGGCTACGTTTTTAAGAGAGACTCACAATATTTACTTAAATTTTAATAAAATAACTTATACAAGTGAATAAAAGCCATAAAAGCACCAGTTTCCACCTCAGTTCTCCTATCCATAGTCCTGTGTTCTAGAGGAAGCAGCTTCTCTTTTGAATTATTTTGGACTTTTAACTTAAGAAATTATTCCTAAATAATAAAAAAAAAAATTACGTGATTACTTTTCTATACTTTCGAGGAAGTAAATTACATGTTCTCAAAGCTTTACAACTAAAACATCTTTGAAAAATACATTCTAGAGCAGTTCTGAAGGGAGGTGCTGAATCTTTGGAAATGCGTCATCAGTCACATCCGTTAATGTGCTCCGTGCTCGTCAGTGGCGGCAGAGACACAAATCAGGATATAGGAATTTCTGGCTGCTTCCTTTTCGCCCTGAAAATGTTCAGTTCCTCACTCGTATCCATTTAATTCAGTAGTAAAGCATGGGAATAAAGGGCATAAATAATATATAATTACATGGGATCACTATGTAAATACATTAGTGTTAATATTTTTCGCTGACAGAGTTATGAAACTAAAGATAATTTGCATTCTCCATACAAAACTACTCCAATGAAATTTACATGAAGGGTTATTGGGGGAATTGAATTAATATTTAAATCAGTTAAAAGTGTTCCTTCCCAAAATAAGAATTCACATTAATAGAAACAGATTGTTAATTTAAAAATTAGGTAATTAGATATCAAGTGTTAACTAGAGTTTCTATCAGGAGAAGGGGAGAAAGCAACAAACCTTGTTCTGCTATTTTTAAAAATACTTTATTTTGATGGAGAGGCAGTAGCGGGGCACCTGAAACGTGCTAGGAAGTTTTACCTGGCCTGATTCTTTGCCTCCACATAATTCATTAATACCATGCATTTCCCTTTGCATTATTCTTTGCTGCTTGTGAACTCGTTTGTTAAGAAGACTTAGTGATTATAACTTTCTACCAGCGTAGAGGATGTTTGTTACTATTATTATTGTGGTTGGTGTTACTTTCTCTGTAGTCCTCAAGACTATAGGGCAAAAGTATTCCACTAAAATACTCACTTCAACAGGTATTTCTAGACTGCATGAGGTTATTTTTTCTTTTATAGCTGCATTCTCCCCACAAAGTATGGCTGGTTACAATTTATTTGCTATTTGAAAAAGTATAGTAGATTAAGATAAAAGAAAAAGAGAAAAAGAAAAACAACAGCACTTGATCTCCCACGTGGCTTTGGAAGTTATTGTAGCGTAGGTGTGATCTGGCACCCCCTATTCATTGTATTTTTTCTTTGTAGTTTTGTCAGTCACTAAACTTACAATTCTAATGTCATTCATGTTTCATTTATATCCTACAAATATGAATTTTACCAATTGCCACAGGTGAGAGGGAAGAAATCTCTGCAGGAATCTTTCTGGGAATTCAGTTGACTTCTAAGTAGAATGAATTTCAGGCACTGGAGATGTTATTTTAACACTTAAAAACATTGCCAGTCATTTGTCATTTTTGAAAAGTCAGATGAAAGGTTTATTCGTCTTATTTTCACAGACTGGAACATCTGTGTGTTCTATACACAACAGGTGTCCGACGAATGTTCTGGGTGTCTGTCAGTGGCAACTCTTAATGCCTTCATAATGAAGTAATTATTCAAGTGTTATGTTAAAACAGTGTTTCTTAGAAATTATACAGTGACAGTTCTCAACTGACACAATTATGTACACTTTGGTAAAATTAAATTCCATTTTAAGCTATCCTTTAACGCGAATATAATTTACTGATTTGGAGACTTTCAGAATACCATTATAACAGACAGTGAAGAGAACTAAAATATGCACGCCCATGAAACAGTAAAGGTGCGTCCAAAGTGTTCAAGCAGAGATGACAGTGGAATGAAAGATTAGCGTTCGAAGCAGCGGCATCTGCTGGCGGACGGTCCCGGGGAGGCTCCCAGCGCCCCGCGCCGGCTCCTGTGTTCAACGGAGGGTCTCTCAGAGGAGACACATGGGACCAAACAAAATGTAGGGGACTGTGAAATTGAAATTTTAAAATGCATTTCTTATTTATACTGCACTTACTTAAAAAAAAAGTGATTTGAAGTGTTTCCAATGGATGTATCCTTAAATACCTTTCCTTATAATTTGCTATAGAATGTTATTTTTTTTCTTTTGTTTTATTTTTCCTTCTCCTAGTAAAAGTCTATACCTGCCATGGCCAAAAGGTGCCAGAGCTCTGTATTGGTTTGTTGTAGATGAAAGAATAACCCTAATATCCATGGATATAATTTTCTATTTCGTTGTTAAAAGGCTGCCTTTTCTAACATTGGTGAAATAGTTTGGATGTATCAAAATAGCCTTAACACATGGAATAAATATAAATTAATTGCTCTAAATATGCATCTGAATTAATAGGGTTTGGTTCTCAGATGAGAAATCACATATTTTTTGAAAACTGTAATAGAGTTGGTGCCTACATACAAGGAAAAATTATGAACACATCTTGTCCAAATTCAGTTGAATAATAATATTTACTACTCACAAATAATAGATTGTATGTATTTACTTATTTTTTATTATTAACATGTGAAATGTGTTTTGGAGAAAAGGGAAGATGATTGCTTATAATTAAAGTATTGGATTTTAACAATTTTCTTCCAGATGAATTCAAGTTCTTTATGAAAAGGCTGCCCATGAATTATTTCCTCAACACATCTACCATAATGCACTTGTGGACAATGGATTCTAATTTTCAGCGCCGCTACGAGCAACTGGAGAACAGCATGAAGCAACTCTTCCTAAAGGCACAGAAAATTGTGCACAAGCTCTTCAGCCTTAGCAAGAGGTGCCAGAAGCAACCGCTCATTAGCCTGCCGAGACAGAGGTAAGGCGTTTGTGGCGATGGGGCAGCTGAGGCCGTTGGTTCCCCAGGGAGCTCTGTTCCTTTCCGAATGCGCCTGATAATGTGCATAGCACAGTGTTACTCACATCACAGGAAATAATTTGAAAACAACATAGCTCAAGTCTCAAAGTAATACATTGTTGTTGTCTTCCAGAGAATAGTGCAATGAGTAACACATAAGCTAACACCTCCTGATTTTTCTTCTATTATTAAAATTGAGAAGTCATTCTAACTGGTTGTATGTGGTAGGAAACTAATAATTGTATCACGGGGAATACAAAACCGCAAAGCCTTACGTTTATGTTGTAAGCACAGGAAAAAAGTAGGGCCACGATGTGAAATTTCTTAGTATGCAATTTTCAATGAAAAGAATTTAAAGTTTTTTTGGTTAGTGTTCAGAGTACCATATGCCTTATTTAACATGAAAATCTGAAAACTGCATGGGACGTTACTAGCAGTTGATGTGAATGATGACAGGCTATTAAAATACTGGGTCTGAACTAATTTTGAGAATCACAGTTTTTAGATTTGCTACTTTAAGCTGTATTGACCAGTCAGTACAATAAAAAAGGTATTTATTTATTTGAAGTCAGATAAAAAATACATCAAAATGAAAAGCCCAGGGAAAATATAGAATGCTATCACAAAAAAATATGCATTTGCACTATCTCTGTTATAAGATGCTTGTATTTTGAGTTGATGCTCAAATCATAAGAGGAGAAATCTATAATTATAGATTTTTTTTCACTAAAAAAAATGGAAAGTCGGTACACTTTCAGTTTTTTTAATTCAATTTCAAAATAAATCATTGGCATTATTTTTGATTCACTGGATTTCAGGATATTCAAAATTTATGTAAGTATTCCATTGGTCTAAATCAAAAACATTTTTATTGCCCCCCAAACAAATCCAGCACCAATTAGCGGTCACCCCTCCATACTCCTACACCCAGCCCTAGGTATTTATCTCTAGAAACGTGGCAGAGCCACAGCTGCGCCCGGCCGGGACAGTTCGCATAAATGAAACGCTGCAGTGTGCGTCTCCAGTGACCGGTTTCCTTCTCTGAGCCTAGCACTTTTGGGCCTTTCTCCTTCCCCTGGTCTCCCTGGTTGTAGCGTGTTCAAAATAACATCATGATCATGGACTACGATGAAGAGCAACCAAAAACATGAACATTGGAAGGACAAGGAGTGGGAAGGCTGAGCAGAGTCTATGAGTGGGGAGGGGAACAGGTCTGCGGCGAGGGGGGCTGCAGACGCCACCGACCCAGGAAGGGTCGCCCACCCGGGAGCCGGCCAGCGACGAGCCCAGAGGCCCTGGAGCCTGCGGGAGACGTGGCGCCCAGGTGCGCGCGGGGCTCCTGCAGACAGCCAGCTCTCACACTCGCGGGCCATGGGGCTCGGTAGGTGGCAGGGGTGTGCTCTTTGGTATTTTTTAAAATATTTTAGTTCGCTTTCTGGATGCATACAGCAATGATTTAATCCTCTATGTGGAGTGTGTTCTGTGGGAATCGGGTCACCTGCTGCAGAATGCATAGCATGTTGTTTTGGTTTCTTCTGTTTCTCTACGAGGCAGACAGATGCCTTCCCCCATTCTTTCAAAGGGGCCTGAGCCATTGTCTTGGTCCCTTAGGGCTGCTATAAAAGCTCCAGAGACTGGGGGGCCCGTGACCAACAGGCGCCAGTTCCGGAGGTCTGAAGTCCAAGAGCAGGGTGCCGGCACAGCGGGTTCTGTTGGGGCCTCTTTGGGGCTGCGGTCGCTGGCTCCTCGCTCTGCCCGTACAGGGCGGAGGGACAGGGAGCTCTGAGAGGTCTCCTTTGTAAGACCGAGTCCCGCTCCGTCCTCATGGCTGGGGCACTGCCTCAGGCCCCGCCTCCTCGTGCCATCATCCTCAGGGACCAGGGCTCCGACACTGCAAGTGGTTGAGGGGACACACACATTCGGAGCTGAGCAGACCGGGCTGGCCCCTAAGTGTCACTAAGTCCTTGAGACGGAGGGTGAGGCGACGTGCTACCCACCCCCTCCTTCGTGCAGGAGGCCCATCCCTTGGGCGCGGCAAGGAGACTGGCGTGCAGCCCCAGCGCGGGCCGGGTATTCGGGGTCACCGAGCCGCGACACAGTGCGCCCGTCTCGCCGAGGTTGTGACCGGCCTCCTTCTCTGTCTCAGACTTGTCGGCAAGTAGTCACGGTTCTGTGCTCCGGACAAGAAACACAGATAATCAACATTTTTGTGGGAGAAAGGCTTGAGGATGATGTTTACCACATCTGACCCCCAGGGGTGATGTATAAATCCTTTTCATCGTGTTGGTTTTTTCCTAGTCCCTTTTTGGGCCGGCAGCCTGCGCTCGCTCTTCCCTCTCTTCTCTGTTGAACGTCCAGACATTTTCCATTTTAACCTTCTCTCTTTATTGATCTTGATTCACTTTCATATATCCCCTCTTCAATGAAATCTTTATAATTTTGTTTTAATGCAGAGAGAGTTGGGGCTTTTGCAATCCCATTTTCCAAAAGGGACAACCTCGCACTACTTTCCTGCAAAATAGTGCTTCCCATCTTGAATCAGCTTTCTTTTTTAGCGCATTAAGGAATCAGAAATAATGGATTTTTATTCTCTTTCAATATTTTTTACACTTTCAAATACATGACTTATCTAGTTGTCTTTCCAATATTTTTTTCTTATAGCATCATCTAATTCAAGCTAGGTTTTCTTTATTTATAAGAACAGGACCACTTTCTAATAGATAGAGAATCTAATAAAAATCTGGATCCGTTTTTAGCATGTCTTGGAAGCAGTGGAAATGAAGCATGAAGAGCCGTGGAGGCGAACCTGGTGGCGCTGGCGGGAAGCTTGCCTGAGACAGAGGGTACTCCGCCTGCAGCACAGTCCCTGCGTTTGCTCTTTTGGTTTTTGTTTCAATAGTTAATTTTGTCATAGTTGGTTTTGTCAAAGTCTGTGTATGCTTAGGGCATGTGAGCGATCATGCCGTGCACCACGTTTACACGATGTTGAGAGAGGCAGTTTGGGAGACCATTGGCCAGGGGGTGGGGGCGGTCGGAAGGCAGGTGTCGTTGCCAAGTCTTAATGGTGTCTCCCGTAAACCAGTAAGGACGTGCCAGTGCGTAACACTAAATGCAGCGACCCAACCTACATACAGCTATCAAACATTGGGGGAAGCCACATTTTACTTGGCACATGAACAAAATGGAAATCTGTGAAGATAAATTTCAGTAGATTTTATAAACAATAGGTGTATAGAAATGAAAGGTTTTCCTTTTTTTTTTTTTTTACTGCTCAGTTACACGTGTCCCACCTTTTCCCACATTGGTCACCCTACCCTGTCCCCCTACCCCAAAGTGAGTCCCCCACGTTGTTTGTGTCCATGGGCCCTCCGTTCGCATTCCTTTGCCTGCCCCCTCCCCTTCTTTCCCCTGTTACCTCCTCCTCCTCCTCCATCTCCCCTCTGGTCACTGTCAGTTCTTTATGTCCAAAGTCTCCGGTTCTGTTTTGCTCATTTGTTTGTTTTGTTGATTAGGTTCCACTTAGACGTTTAAATGGAAAGAATTTTAATTTACTATCAGGATATTTTTATAAGTAGTTTTCATGCCTTCAAAAACAGTGATCAAAAATGATTCATTTTGTTGTTTAATAATGAATACAGACTAACTTTGGTTAGCCAAAGTAATTTACAGATGATATAAGAGCATTTATTCCTAGAAGGAAAGTATGGATCAGCCATGGTTAAGCAAATGCAGAGACTGTAGTTCTTATAAGCTCCTCTTGGAGATCTACGATGTATGTATTTATGCAAAATACTCGGTAATGCCCCACATTCAGAAAAAAAAAATAGATTTGTTTATACAAGGACTTTCCAGAACAAGTTTTTTTAATTCCTAAAATGCCTGTTAACTTCGCAAAGTATACGCTTTAATAACACTGTGCCATCAGTTACAACCCACTTTTTACAGCATCTAGAATCATCCTTCATTGTCATATAATCACCTCAGTTACCATAAACTATTTGATTATTGCCTTGAGCTGAAATGATTTCAGAAGATCTTTATTTTCTCAACCTCAGATATTTTCTTGGTGCCAGGTACCAATCCTTGGCAAATAAGTCTCTTAATCACCCTAAAACAACTAAAATTCTTTTAATTAAAAAAAAATTTTTGAGGATTACATTGCCTCATCTTTATAAAAGTATAAGTTGACATGGTCCTACATATTAAATGCTCATTTGTTTACTGAAACACATTTTGTCTCATTTCTTTTTTATAAGCTGAGCCCCGGGGTTTTTCCTCCCAGTGTTTTGCGTGAGATGGAAGGTAGCATTAACTGCATCCATTTCTGTGATGGCTAATTGGTCCATGAAGTTGCATCTTAGAACAGTTATAGAGTGCAGGGGGAATACACTGATTCTTTGTTGATATTATATTAAGCAGCAGTAGTTTGTATGTGGACCATAAAGTAGGAATCAATATAAATCCCAAGACACAAACATTTTTCCTAATCTTATAATGTTATTGACAATAAAATTCTGAGAATGGATGCACTTTCAGTTTTCAAACAGATTTAAATCAGGGCTAAGAATCAGTCTCATTTCCATTGGAACCACTCCTAAACAATTTTACTTATCTTATGGAAGAAATGAATACATGTTTTCTTCCAAAAATAAATACATCATCTGCTATTGGGATGGTGTGCTTTTTTTAGTATCTCAGAACAGAAGCCCATCTTATGAAACTGAATTATCATGTTGTTCATGAACCTTTCCCCTGAATACATCCCCCCAAAATGTTGTAGCCGCAGTAAATGCTATGCTGTAGTGAGACCTGGCTGAGAGTAGACTAGAATCCAATTCTGTTAACATAATAGCATACACAAAAAAAGGAATAACGACTGTTTTCTCATATTATATGAAAGTCTCTTCTATCAGCTTTCATGCAAATGACAGCAGAGGTTTCAGTGTGTGTGGATGCCATTG